TGGGTGGGTCCAAGATTCTGTTATGCATATAACATCGGGCGTCATCTCAAAATCAACGGCTCGAAGTTGAGCCATCTTATTTATAACAGCACTATAACATCTAGTGTGTTTCGAGTGGCGGGACTATGGCTATCGTTATTCTTAAAGAAGAAACATCTAGTGTGTTTCGAGTGGCGGGACTATGGCTATCGTTATTCATAAAAAGAATTTGGAGGTGGGTATGAAAACTGTAGGCATTTTGCATGTTGCATTTTGTGATTGCTAGGGAATTTAATCCAAAAATACATGCAAAAAATTATTTATTTATTCATTAGCAGTAGATATTTTTAGCATAACTAGCATTACCTGCTTCCTACCTAATTCAGTTCGGCGTCAAGCTTGAAAACTAGGCATCTTCGGCATTCACTGCTGAATGACCACGGTGATTCGCAAACAAATATTAGTTGTCTCGATTTCCCTCGAAGATAGCTGCAGCGTGTTTTCGATCTACAATTCTGCTAGACAGAGAGCGGATTGAACTTCACCCTTGACTGATGTGTTTCGGCATTCGAACTGGATGAGCTTACTTTTCGAACTGACCGCGGCTGAATATACTTCTTTTAAAGGATTAATCAAAAATTCCATAATTGATAAACTTTTTCTAGCTCTAAAATATTCTTATTTCGCAACCTTTAACACCTATACTGCAGCGTTATTATTTTACACTTTTGATATTATTTTACATTTGTGGACACTTTTTTCGATTAGAACAAACTCTTTATCTTGCACACCATTTAATAAGCATTAAACTAAAACAAAGCCAACAGTGACTGCAAAAGAAGGGGTTTGTTTTAGTTTTTTTTCTTATTTCCAAGGGTTTTGACAGTGCCCAAGAGGTGCCTTACCAATAACACTTTCTATTATATTCACTGGCACATGCACGCGGGCACCCAGCCGCATGCAAATGCGTCCCCAACTCTTTGCGGCTTCCTAAAGGCCACTTAACGCTTCATCCCTTTGGCCAACGCAGCAGGGGGCCTCTATATGCCACATCCCCTCGGTCAATTCAACATCCCAATGGCAAACCACTTGAACTCGTTTCACAATCATGTAAAAGCGAATGTTGTGACCTCTCTCTCACACACACAATACAACAGACATCACACACAATTTTGAGCAGGAATGGACGCAGTCACCATCAGCTCTGGCTTCGCAAGTGGCCACTGCTGCCTGAGACGGCAACATAGGGTTATACCACAATAAAGCGCTCACTCTGATGACTTCTGCCTTTTTCCTGCAACCTCGGATTTGACCTGATGATTGTAGTGATTCGAGCAGAACTACTACTTAGACCGCTACAAAGTTATAAAAGTATTTAAATTTATGACCTCAGGCAGATGGTAATTCTGTAAAGGCTGCACACATAGGTAGGTTTGTAGCCGAAGCCGAAAATTGCTTTGTCCGTCGTCCTTGTTTAAAGCCAGCTGTCTCAAGGTTTTCCACTGCCGTAGTGAGCACTTTCAGACGCGCTGACCCGTAGACACTTGATCATCTTTCACCTCGGGCCACATACACAGGTAAGGTCAGGTGTATTAAAGGAATTAATCGCATACGCCTTTGAGTCACCCATTGGTACACAGCAGTTAGGAAAGGAATCGATACAGCAGATCATGTCGAAAGAAGTCGTTTGCATAACTGCAGACGAAAGTCAAATCGCCGGCTACTTCGGAAAAGTAAACACTACTACTGACTTCTCTTAAGTAATATAATCACGCATGTAAGCATTATCAAGGCCGTGACAACTGATACTAGCCAGGAGTTGTAACTGAGCAAAAAGAACAGACATTGAAAAAACTCCTTAGGCATTGCTCAGAAATTATAGAATTTGGAATGTCATTTGAGGGGTTATAATGAGAACAAAATTGTCGCTCGAGGGAGGAAAAAGTGTGCGAGATAGGACTGACATGCTGCTGAGAATGTTTAAGGCAACCTGGGGAGCCCATCGCGCTTAATATCACTATCCTAGAGGTCACGTGAACATTAAGAGGAGCTGAAGATGCAACTTTGGTACGCCCTTGCTGTTTGCCTGATCTACCAACAAGGTGACAAAGAGGTGGATCCCGCTACAGTCGCTGGCATTCTGTTGTGGGTGGATATACGGTAGAAAGTTACAATGCCGCGTAGCCTAGGCTACGAGGTGCGTCGGAAGCAATGGCGGACGTGGTTTTTGCAGTTCGCATAGAGACAAGAGGACATCGCGAAGGTATTCTCTTAAGTGCGATGGAGAGGAAAATCTTCGTGTGAACAACAGTACTACTGAAAATAACTAGTAAAATGTTTTACACCATGTGAATGTTTGGTGTTGGGCTATGCTCAGAGGCCTGTCGTAGATTCAGATGACATGGTTGTACGTATGGACGTGCTCGTCAAACTTTGTATCAAACGTGTCCACGTATGGGGAAATGACACTGTCCGCTTGAATTACTCTCTTAAAGAAGAAAGAATTTTCTTGGGTGCAATCTCAACCCAGTCACACGCACTTTGAGAGGATGTCCTCGCAACCATGGGAAATGTCTATTATGTTGCCGCCTAGCTGCTTGTAATCCAGGGAAAACAAGTCAAGATTGGACAAGCATGTCTCGTAAGGTAGGTACACATGGCCTCGTACTAACTTGGCTGCCTGTCGTTGAACTCTTTCAAGGGTTTAACGGTCTTTGACTGTCCACGGCCTCCAGGCTCGGATGGAAAATTCTAACTGTGGTCCCACGAACATTCCAAAGACCTTACAAAAATACTTTTAATCGAACTTAGCGAAGGCGCGGTTTATGAGATACAAAGTAAGCACTGCGGATTTGGCCACCTTCAAGCTTCAAGGGATGGCTTGCGTGAAGACGCGATCCATAGTCCAAGATCTTTCTGAGCCTCTACCTCTGGCAGTGGCGTGTTATTTAAGTAATACAACCTCCGTTACGCAGTACTGATTCTGCAGAAGCGCATAATATTGCATTTGGCCACGTTTAATGGCAGGACCCGCGGCTCAACCACTGCACAACTTGATGCAAATTATCCTCTAGATTGCATTTATACCTTTTGTTGCGGATAGCCTTCCAAGTCATCATCAAACATAA